GCGGCCGAGTAACGTCGAACGTTTAACGTAACAAAGATGCGAGACGGTGTTTGGCTGGATGCACACGTCGGCAGAGAGACACGATTACGCGAATTCGAATGCGAGCCAGCGACGTGTCCTCGAGTATCACCCCGACTCCAATCAGGCTGACGCGAACCGCTGCTGCTTCTTTTCTTTCAATTTTAGCATGCGGCCGCGCGCCGCCGTCTCCCGCAAACGGCAGGCTCGAGGAACGAACGAACGACTCTGGCCGTCTGCCAACTCTTGCCTGGCGTTTCACTCCGGAGACGTTGCTCCACGCCTGTATTTATTTCGCACGAACACCAGCCGACCGACCGCTTTGTGTAATTCGCATCGACGTGTACCTGTCCGCCTTTCGCATTACGCCGAGCTCGCCTGTAAATTCCTGCGGGCACGCACCGCCATAGACGACCGCTTTCCTACGGTTATTCGAGCCAGTGCCTAGCATCGCGTTCCACGCGGTATTCATCTGGGATCTATTTTTTCTTGCAAAGCGCAGATTCAACGTGCAGACCGATGCTACACCGTACGAGTTCAGAGTGTAGCGTCACGGACCGTCGGCAACCAAGCGTATGGTTTAAAGTGTAACCTCGAGGCCGATGTAGCATTTCTTTGTACTATCGAACGCACGCTCATACGATATAGCGTAAGTTCAAAGTCACGCAATAAGGCATTTCTGCGTCGCATAGCGTAAGTTGAACGTACGCTGATGATACAGCGCCGTACAAGTTCCGAGTGAAACGACGCAGGATTTCCTTGTTGCAAAACGAACATTGTACGCGAGCTGATGCAGCGCAGCATGAGCTCGCAGCCGCGTGCTTTGCATTGCAAAACACAATTTCTGTTTCAATTATCGCGTAGTTTCGAACTACGGTAAAGAATGTATGGAAGACGGTACTCGTTTGATAACCGTGCCGCCTCGTGTTTAACGCGTTAACGCCGTGACTCGGTCGTTTCACCGGAAACGTTGATAATCAGTTTGCAATAATACGATGAAAGAATGTTTAATTCGACGGTAAGACCAAGTTCGTCGAAATGTATAGAAATACAGAAAAGCGAGCGCTAGCGCCATATTTCGTCCGTATTTGAATCATTTTGAATCATTGCGAGTTTAACGTAGCTGTTCGTTGCGTCATTCGTGTCACGCGATAAAATGCGGCGCATACGTAGGTTGCCTGGTTTTACAAAAACCTGCACTGCGCTGTCTGACCCTGCGCTTAACGTCTGCTCCACTTGCAAAGTAGTCTAGTCACGAGTACCGAAAATAACGCAACGAAGATAAAATGAGAATAGTCGAAAATAAATCGTAAGTGGAATACAGAAGCATCATGCGAGGTCGGGATCGATCGATCGATTTGGCAAAAGGGTAGTTATCGATATCTCATCCACCTCGCCGATACGTCGTAGAAATCAACGTCTTGAACAACTCTTTGCCTAGACATTTGCAAAGAATTGTCCACACCACTACAGTGAATTCTGTGTATAATTGCGTGACAGCGATGACGAAAGCTATTTTCTCTTGCATTCAAATTGGTAGGTCTTGGTCGATAATTTTCAAAATACGAATGAGGCAAATAAATACACGCGAGACTGGCAGAATCGATGTAGCTTGGAAACAAAGGCAATGAAAAAGGCGCGAAAGTTACAGCAAAGATTGGACAGGATTAATCCGGGACTACGTGCCTCGAATATGGAAATCTCGCGTTGACAGTCCAAACTATCGCGCTACTAATCCGGCGAGTGTTTACTCTGGCACATAGCAGCCACTAATAGCTCCGAGGAACTTCATTAGGCCGCTAATATCCCGCTGAACGCGATAAATCTTCTTTCTGGAAGAAATCCGAAAGAAAGAAGAAGGAGGCACAATTATCCGACTAATAGATAGCTGCGCCCAAGGGATCACCGCGAAATAAATAGACCATCTGGATTTAATTGTACACTGGTGCGCGTCGATGATTCTTGGCCTCTGTCCGACGTCGAGTTTGTAACGCGGTCAAGATGAATATTACGTGCACGCTAAGAGACGGATAGTAAGCTGTGGAGACGCGTAGTGCACAGATTGTGGCTCGTGTTTCAGATGTAACTGGAGCTTTAATGTCCGCTTAGAAGCGTCCAAGTATCGTACCGTACACGTACACGTACACGTACACGAAGGTAGGTAGAGTCCGATTCGAGCAAGCAAACCCCAGCCGAACAGCGAATTTAAATACATATTTTTCTCGAGGAAATCCGCGCGGAGTAATTATACCTACACAGGAAGCATGTGAAAAGAACCAGCCATTGTTTGTACGTCGTCGTTTGAATTTCGAGAGGCGAAGAGCAGCCGCCGGATATTCCTATTCTCTTTCTCCGTGCTTCCGTTTCTGTCTCCGGTGGCTCCTGCTGGCGAGATGCTGATTTAATCGCCACATTAATATTTATGTCGGTTTTACTTTATTCGTAACAGTTGCGTAACGTAGAAACAGAGTTGCAGCGAACAGACGGGCCGGAGCCGTTGCTCGAGCTTTCAGATTCACCAATTTCGTGGCGAGTGTCGCGGTAACTGCCGATCGCGAAAGAAAGCGCAACTCTTGCGAGAGATCAACGACGCGATTGCACGAGATCGTTAATGGAAAACAGAATTTGTTTATCCTTCGATGGAGTGGAAATTCTCGCTGGTATATATGTAAATCGGATTTCTGGTGGAAATTACGAAATTACGAACCTCTGTTCCGTCGAAGAGGAGACATTTTCACGCTTTCGTAACGATCCTTGTCAGGTATCGGACGTTGAGTTTGCAACATTCGTAGCTACAAGGAAAGGATATTTCGTTCACAGTATACCGAAGGCAGGGAAAAGTAGAAGAAAGTACGCGGAAGGGAAAAAGCGGTTTCGTAATATTCCCGATGACTTTGAAAACGAAATAAAGAACGTATCGTTAGTAGGTGGAATAGCATTACCTCGACAGTTAAAATTGCAAATTCGATTACGCGCTTTGCATACGAGCGTAGACGCGCGTGTTCTGTTACATGCATTGCGTGTAGATTATACAGATATCCGTAATTATAATATACCAAGCTGTGTATCTACATAGCGATATTCGCAAGGCAGTGAAACGACGCGTAATCGATGACATTCTCGAGTTATTATTAGAAAGTGAAATTGAGGTTACGCGTTTTAGGAACTGGACGAAGGAATTGATCGCGTTGCTCGGGGTCAAAGGAATCGACGCGACTACTCGATCGCGTGTCTTCCGCTTGCTAAGACGCACGACTGTGAAAATTGCATTCGAATATAACTACGCGTAAAGGTAAACGTCGGGCGCAAAAGTTATTTAAAGCGAGGCAAACTCATGACTGATTCACGCTGAAGTTTCGGAAATTGGTTACGGGCAACGGTAAACGAAGATAAATCATCGGCACGGAAGTTTAGTCGATAGGGGAAGAGTGCGAGTACCGCAAGATAAACTACCATCGCACAATACCCAACTCCGATCACGCTTGGTCACATGCGCCACTCTCCGTGAACTCTGTAAATTAATTAAATTCTTCAGTTTTATTCGCAGACACCGGATAAAACATCCGGAATGAAAAACGAAGCGACGCCACGTTGCGACAGCGATCAAATTAACACCGCAGCGCCGGTTCCCCCGCGTTAAACGACCCATCGAGGAGGCTTGTTTAGAATTTTCGTCCAGCTCAAGCATTAGGTTGTCCGAAAAGTGTCTTTCTTTTACAGATACGTCTTTTACAACGATGCATCTTTATACAAACACGAAACCTAATCTGTGGAACGTTGCGATCTTTATTTTGATAGAACAAGGCGGATCATACGTAATTCCATAAAATAATATAAAACAGAAAATGTTGTGCATTATTTCCTTATAAAACGAAAGAAGCTCTTCGGACGACCTAATATATAAAACTTGCTAAAATCAGCTAAAATCAGCTCTCGACATTCTCTGTTCTGACATTCTTAACTGTCACTCTGTTGGATTCGCATAATAAACTCTGCCAGTATATCTAAAGTCTGACTTCTTTTTCTTACCTTGCTCGTGAAACGTTTGAACTTACGCGAAATCATTCGAACGACGCGAGGAAACGACCAGTGATTTTCTTCATTTCACGTGTCTGCGATGTGACACAGACGGGGCTGCTCGATGAGCGAGCGTCGCTCTGGACGAGACGTATTGACGCGTGCACTTGAGGAAATATACACGTTGAACGTCTGCGTTATAAAAATGAAAACTTTATTTAATCACTCGCGCTCTGGTATCGATACTCGTTCGATAGTGTCGGATACGAAGCGTGCGAACTGGAATGCACAGCGTCGATCGCGTTGTCATCCTTGTTCCATTGTTTGCCGCGGCTAATTTTGCAAAGGGACTCACTGTCGCTTGTTGGCCGATAGCTGAAATCTCGATCTTAATTATTTATCGCGGGCAGGCGCGCTTTCCAAGCGGAACAAAGTTCGTTTCCTTTCCGAGAATGAATTTTAATTTCGACCGATTAGCGAAGTTCGTGTTTGCCACTCGCCGGGATTCAGGCTCGCGGATATTAACATACTTTTCTCGTTTGCTTCCCAACTGATTAAAAACTTTCTCATAAATTTGTCTCTGTAAACGAGTACCGGTCGCTAGGGTGGTGTAGCTCTAATTCAATTAAACCAAGTAACACGGTCCATTGATTTAAGATTCCAGCCGAGTTTCGCTACGTTCTCTCTCAGCTCATCCCCTTGGCGCGCCGCTCTCGCAGCTCGTCACGAGCACCCGTTTCTTAATATCGTCCCTGGTTCGTCGCGTGAAAGCGTGCCAGCTCGCGAGATCGACGCGTCTGCAATCTACGCTCCAACACTTGTACGGTAATTTCACCGGTTAACCGAAAAGAACGAGTTGACTCGTCGTTCACCTCCACGGTGTATTCGTATCGAGACATCTTCCGGTTTTGCTACGTTATCGCGTTCCTTTCATATCTCCTTGTATATTTTATATCGAATTTTAACCCTTAACGCTTCGAGTGAGCCTCTCAAGCACCACCGATGTACTCCAAATGTATTTTTGGATCGTTATCGGTAATTGTTTACAAATAAAAAATAATACTCTTCAGTGAATACTGTGAAACCTGTGAATGCAAACCCGGTTTGCATCCCAATGGATGTTTTAAAAAATTCCACACATTACTCAATTATAGTTAATATTGTAGGATCTTACTACAATTAGTTTATTTAAAATGGATTAAACAGATGTTGGTTAAAGAGAAAACGATGGTTGTTTAACGTGAACTAAATACGATAACGTATTATAATTAAGACAACTAAACAGTTAATTTGCAACTTTCGTCGCCACGGTTCCAACGCTTTCACGTGGACCACACTCTCTCGACAACGCAATTCTCGCACTCTCTGTTAATTCGTCTTTCTCCCTTAGCATCCCTTTGTCTTTTCTCTTAGCCCCGCCACGCGCGTGTTTTCCTCGTAACTATTCGATTGAAGGACCGACGATACATCGATGGCCTGTCGGCACTTAGGCTTTCTCGCGATATTGTTTATGGTTCGCTCGATATCTCTTAGGTCTTCCGTCCACGATATTACAATATAAATGTAGTAACGTATGGATTCTTAGAGTAAGGACAAGTAACGATGGTAAATTTAAAGTTTAGTGTAGTTTAATAAGTGATATTCAATAACAAAAGGAATATAAATAGAGTTTATTCTAGTTTAATAAGCGATATTCAATAACAAAAGGGCCGACTATAATATCGTCGCACGTCGATTCACACTCTGCTTCTCAACTGCCTCTCTGGCCGTTGTAGCATTCTTTTGTCTTTTGCTAGGCCCACCGCCACACGTGTTCAAACTATTTATTTGAAAGACCGATAACGCATTGATGGAGCCGACAGCGCCTCGGCTCTCGCGACATTGTCTATAGTTAACTCGATGTTTCTTAGGCCCTTCTCTCCGATACTACATAAATATTGTAATCAAAATTATATTACTTCCGAGATGAATAAAGATCGTTTCGAATGACTTTAATATTATTATTTATACGTCATTGTAGCATTTAAAATCTGACGCTTAAAAACTTGCAAGTCGAAGTATGATGAGAATAAGTTGGACTTGCCGGTCGATATTTACAATTAACGGTTAAGATCGTTGCGACTAATTTAGAATTCCTTGTCGAAACTGAAAGAGTACTACAATTACTACTACTAGTAACGAAATTCTATTTATTCTTAGCCTCTGTTGGCGCTTGCCGAGCAAGTTCTCATCGTGCGTTGCTTCCTCTTCTGTTCGTCGGATGCTCACTCCTCCTTTGTTCGCCGGAGAGAACGACAAGATCTGCATGCGAGGTCCGCTTGCGTGGACGCGCCGTAAATAATATATGGAAGAGTCTGTACGGCGATAAAGCTTCGCTACGCGTTATTACTATATTACACGTGAGGGGCGCAGCGTTCCCTCGTCGTTCTCGTATTTCTCTCTTGTCCATCGTCCGCATGGTCGTTCTCCGACCAACGACGACGACGTCGTTCCTCCCTTTCACCGAGCCGGTACGGCGCGGTCCGGCGACGCAACGCGGCCTCTCGTTCTTTACACGGCACCGCCCCGGGAGAAAGTAGAAACGAATACAGCAGCCGTGCACTAGCCAGCGCGAGCGTGCGTGAACCGCGTCAATGTCGATCACGCGATCTCGCGTGCAACATGTACTCTTTTACTCCCTCTGTCTCTCTACTCGACCACCCCCGAGGTAATATAGCAACCTCCATTCGCATCTATCCCTCCTTCCACTCTCTTTTCCTCTTTCGCCAGACGCAACTTGCGTATACATCCGACGCGTATCTATCCAGCACATGGAATCTACGACGAGAACCAATCGTTTCAAGATTTCTACTTTATCCACGTTTCGAGATACCCCGTATAAAATTTCTCACTCGAACGTGTATCTTCCGTGTGTGCTATATTTCCATTTCGTTGTACGTGCGTCTTGAACGATGTGTTTTACGTCGTCCAATGAATAATCTTAAATCGAAGCGAACACCGATAAACGAGACGGAAGGTGAGTTAAATTTCTTAGCGTAGAAGAGGACAGTTATTTTTCTGAAAGATCGACCAAGTGCTCGTAACCAGGATCGCGAAAGAGCCGGCGAGGTATCGGACCAGAGAGCAGAGGCGATTATTCGCAAATATTTTCCTTTAATACGAGGCACTCGTGGGCCTCGCGGCGATAAAAGACAAAGGCTGGGAAAAAGTGTTTTCGCAGTTAGTAGGACAGGATTCCACGCTCGTTCGAGAGCACAATTTTCATAATCGCGTGGAACTGGTTGGCGAATAGTCGCGCATCAACGATTTGCCACAAAGTCGAACAATATGGGTTCATTAGAGAGGAAACGTTACACATGTTCCTGCTTAACGCGCCTCGTGCTCGCCGTCGTACACTGTACAATATATACGTGTACGATATACATACATATACTTTCCCTTTCCATGCCCCTCTTTCTCTTTCTTTCCTTTTCTCTTCACTCTTTCTTTCGCGGTTACGAGTACGGGGTGCTAGCGTTCAACGATACCGGTGCTGTTCGTCTAACGGCCGCTCGTAACCACAAGCGTTTTCCGCTCGAGTAAAAACAATTTCCATAATGGAGGGGACACTTGGGCCGAGCCGCTGCTAATCCCGTCGGGTTATCGTGTTAGCGAGCTCTGAATCGGCGCGAAGGGTTCGTGCGTCGCGTAAACGCGATCCCCGTGCTACCAGCGAACCGCGTATAACACGTGAAATCGAGCCCACCGAACGAATTGGATCGTCCAAGTCGTATGTACGTCGGTGAATCAAATTACGTCCGCTGAATCTGTCGGCAAGGTTCCCCCTTCGTTCG